AATGTATGGTCCGAGTAACGATCACTAGTGAGCACCTGTAACTGTTCATACACAATGATCGTAATGACCTGGCCGCGGTCAGGTCAATAGTCCACGTATTAACTGTTACGTCGACAGAGACGGGGCGTTACAGTTCGTGTGTGCCATGCGTTGTTGTTAGTTTAGGTTAGGAACAGTTATTGGGAGTTCTTGCTATGTGTTGCAAATTAGACTTTTACTATCGAGTTAACTTTGACAGTCGATACATTCATCTTTCAATAAGTGAATAGGTAAATTAAACAGTAGATATAGCCGTAACGCGTTAGGACTGACAACAAAATCCACAGTTTTTCAATCTCAGCTTTGCCAATCGCCGTGGACGTCATTTGTTTTGATTTATCATTACAAAACTCTTAGTAAAAGTGCATGCATCACAAGCGAAAGCTCTCGACGCCGTCCGGCGCGACAGAAGTAGCGATATTAAGGTTGTATTTAGTGCTCGACCGACGGTCAGTGCTGACATCGGTCGAACGTAGCGATATTCATTAAAACAAACGGCTACAGTGCAATACTGATTGCAACCTAGACAACGTACAGCTCCGTCGTGCTGACGGGAATCATCGGTCCACTGACGCGCTATGGCGCCATATATGTGCGTTCAGTACGACGCCGACGCAGCGATCGATCGTACGCGCATATGTAACATCGTAAATAAAATGAATATCGATACTGAGCGTGTCATAACTGAATTACATATTTGTCCGCCATTGTGAGACCTTTCTTGTGAGTTGTGCAAATATAGAGACGCCAAAATTAAGGCCCGGTCAGAAGTTCGTCAGTCAGTTGCATAAAAAGTACGCACATGTTATGTTATTAACAAATAAATACAGAAAATTGTATACGTTGTCGTCAGTCGAGCACTAATCTAAAGTAAACGACCGACGGTGAGCGCGCACCATACCCGCTCACCTTCGGTCATGCACTAAATCCAGCCTAATGGGTGTGGTGTTCTCGTGCGACAGAATGCGTTAGACAGACCGTGTCGTCGCTGAACGTGCTCGACTACACGTGCGGCGAGTGCCGGCGCGGCGGGATCACGTCCCGCGCGGCCGCCGTCCGGCTCGCGCCGCGGACAATCGCGACACTGTTCATGGCCAAGCGGCGGTTCAACAAGTACGCGCACCGGCAGTACATGCAGAGCAGGATGCGCGCGCGGCAACCGGACCCGGACGCGCCCGACTGTCCGGACGCGCCGGACGCGGCCGAGGACGTGCCGGACGCGCCCGACGCCACCGACGGCTCCGACGCCGACTGAACCCGCGAGTGTACAGTGGACGACGGGCCGGACGCGGCCGACCACACCGACGCCGGCTGAACTCGCGAGTGTACAGTGGACGGTGTGACATACCTGGCGGTCGTTAGCTCGTACGTAAACATTATTCGCTTCGGTAAATACGGTTGTAAGGTAAAACTGTTGCATAAATCTGATTAATATAATTAACCGGTAGGGTATGTATGTGAGTTGTCGACGGGGAGATGGGCGGTCGGCCCGCTGTATATTGTATCTCCGGGGGAGGGGCCGTCGCCGGACGCCTAGTGTTTAGATAGCTGTAGAGCGCAGGTCACTAACGTGTAAACTGTACAGTAACTTAAATACTAACTTCACTATATGGGTAGCTGGGCAATTCACTATGTTTAATGATAGTTTTTTGTTTTTCTAAGCATTCTGTATGACGAATCATGTATTGTGTCGAGAACTTTGTTATTTATGTTGGAGAAGTGCGTTATCGAAGTAAGATGAGTGGCGTCGCGCCGGCCGAACTGACCGCGAGCCGGCGCGGCACTTCCGCAAGTGTGTACGGACGAGAAAGTGCTCTAATTAGTCTTGTACAATATTATGTATAATGGAGATATCTCAAACTCTGATAAAATAATAAAAAAAAAAAACTGTGTAAGCAAAGAGAACATCTGCCTTTCAATGCATTTGATTTTTGTTTCAAAAACATATTTCTTCCTGTGTTCTTCAAAATTGGCTAATTACGTTTAGTTAAGACAGTTCGCATTTCGTTTCTCGATATACATAGGATGATAATAGAGTATTGTTAATTTTGCTTATTAAGGTATTTATTTTAGTTATACTTTTACATGGATACAAGAGTATACAGCCTTTGTCTCCTGTGAGTATATCGGAGAGGAAATATTGACAAATTAAATAATGATATTCGCTCCGATGTTGTAACTCGAGATACCTAACATGAATTTATACTTATGAGTTGGATATGATTTTATCTTGAATTTTCCCCCTATACACAATTATAGAAATCGTTGTTTAATTACTGTATTTAGATTACGTTTAAGGATATTTTCGTTTTGTAGTTTAATTGATGAATGAAATTCAGCAGCTCTTCTATTCAAGTGATTTGTTTTTTTTTCTTACTTAATTTCAAAGTACAAAATAAATAGGCTACCTTAAAAGCTAATTTACTCATTTTCGTTCTGGAAATCATATTATGAACCCAATGAATATAGATTTATAAATATAGAAAAGATCAAATTATTTAAACACAGAGTATAGTTATGTTTTTTTTTATTCATGACGATAAAATTATTTATTTATACTACGTTATGATGATAGTATTAAATGTATGACAGACTTGGGTAGTGGTCGTTTCCAGAGCGAAGTTTGTATCGTCGTTCGGACGTGGAACCACGGACATTAAACGCGACTGTATCTGATCGCTCACTATACGTAACAGTCCGGCGGTGTTTGCATTTGCTGTACTTATATCACGCGTCCGCGAGCTATCTCCTCTCAATCACTGCTGTGTGCAATTATCCCAACAATGTTGTGTATTATAATACATTGTAGACGTGTAATAGGCGTGGATCAGTAATTGCATCGAATACTGACTACTTGTAATGTATAATTTTATTTAGTTTATAATTATGCTTTTGGTTATTATTAATCATAATTTACTTAGTGACAATTTATAAGATAAAAATTTATGTCCACAGAGATAAAAAAAAAACCATTAAAATCATGTTATAAACTTTTATACGAATGTACACAGCTGTATAGGTGTGTGTCTAACACCGAATTCGCGTTACTTTATTGACACAGGTGAATTATTAAGACTTACTTGTAAGAGAATAATGATAACTTTATGTCTACTTAATGCAAGTGTAAACGTTCTAGAAATCTCGCACTGTTCGGTCAATTTTGTAAAAAAAAGAATAAAAATAAATTTAATTTGACTTTTTGCTTTTTATTTTGTTTTCTTTTTTACATTGTTTGTAAATTAAAACGCATGTATTGCAATAAAAAATAATTTATATAATTTGACTTACAGTATGGTAAACTCGGTAGCATAATTAACAAAATTTTATAAACACCGAAAATATTCAGCAAATATATTTTATAAACTGGCAATAAAGCATCTGTATTATTTCTTCTGAGCGGGACCTGGGGATAAATAAATGTGTATTAATAAATTTGTTACCCTAGGTCAGCGTTGTAATTAATAGGCTCAAAAACTACTGGACCGATTTTAAGAATTCTGTCACCATTCGAAAGCTACATTATCCACGAGTAAAATAGGCTATATTTTATTTTAGAAAAAAATAGGGTTCCGTAACATATTTGGGTTTTTTCGGACACATGTTGTAAAAAAAATCAACCACTTACTTATTTTGCGTACGCTGCCTAAACTTTAAAAGATAGAACCATAAAATATTCTAATTAATTGTAGATCTTATAAATATCTACAAAAAGGTCCGCGACACACTATACCTATCTATGTCGAGTGAGGCACAACAACCATTTTTGTACTTAAAAAGCTAGATTTTTTTTGGACTACATATAAACGCGTGTATTTTACTCATGCTATTAATCCTTATAAAAAAAAACTTACTCATCACTAAGTACAGTTTATGTACATAATATTTGGTATTTGAATGATTAAAGTTGGATGTTTGGTTTTGAAGTTATGGCAAAATTAAAAAAACCCTGGTTGGCTGTATCATTGATACAGCCATATTTTATGCATGGATACGTCTATGTATGAATGGATATATGAGTAATTGCATAAACAAAAAAATAAACAAATTGAAGACACTAAACACTAAATAAATAAATATTTGTTGCGTTCATTTGTTGAATGAAAAAAAGTATTCACTAACGCCAACAGATGGCGTTAGTGCATATACTCCTGTTGACAGAATGCCCCTCCCCCTGCAGAGCAAAGCATAGTTCACTTATACGCCAATAGATGGCGTTAGTGCATAAGCTCCTGCTCACAGAATGACCCCCCTGTAGAACGAAAACATAGACGTATCCACGTCAAAAATATTACGATTTCTGCGGCACGACCCGTTGCAAAGTGGGCGTCACCGAGGCGGGGGTGCGCGTGCGGGAGGGGAGTTTAGATCTACGAGTAAGGTACCAGCGCGGCTCAGATACGAGGTCGACCCCCTACGTATAGTAGTCTAATAATTTTCGTGCGATTTTTTTAGAATCATTCTTAAAACATTTTTATTTTAGAGATCCTATGTGACAACCACTATAGCAATACCAGTTTTTTTATATTAAAACAAAACTAGTGATCTAATTTCGTCAGTTTTAATAGTATTATTTTGAGGATACTCTTGGTTAATAATAAACGACTGTAAATACTAATACCACGCAAACGAAGTTGCGAGCGAAAGCTGGTAATTCATAATCCTTGTAACTATATTAAAATGAACAAAAAAAAAAAAAAAAAATAACCTGACGAGGCATAGGTCCGTATCAACGCTTTAGTAATTTTATTATTCGTTTCTATTCATACAAATCAGTATTTCAGAGTATTTATTATCTATGTAAATAAGAGAAACAAGAGGAGTAAACTACTCTCAAAAACTACTAAAACAAATTTTGATGAAATTTGATAAGTACGTACAGATAATTCTCAGCCTGGATTAATATACAGACCAAATTCTATCCCACAAAATATTAAATAATCATTGTTAGTTCTAAATCCAACCTTCCGCAGTTCACCAGTTGTGACCACTCGTCTAATCTATGTCAATTATTAAATTATATTATTCCTTACCTTGGTAGAAGATCCTCATCTTGACGGCGACAGGGCGGGCCTGAGGGTCAATCCCAGTATCATTATCCTTGAGCAATTTCCTTAGCGCGTACTCCAAGACTGCGGCGAGATCTTCCTGCGACATCTGCGTGGCCAAGTCTCGATGCGAGTGGCAAGCCTCCTCGTTGGGGGAACGATAGCTGACACGTAGACGGCGATGAACCTGAATATAAATAAATAAATAAAGATATTTAATAATAATAAAAATCTTTATTTCACAAATATAGGGCACATTACAAATTAAGAGCTATGCAGCAATCTTTTGCAAACAATCAATGGTGATATAGGAAAAAAGTAGATAAATAGTGACGATGGCTAAATTTTGTTTGTCCGTCAGGTATGTTGATAAATATGAAACTCGTATTTTTTTTATTTTATTTTTTTGTGCAATCATTAAATTATTTATATTGACTTAAAATGTTACATGACGTCACAATTTTGTATATTTCCTACAAAAATGTGATGTAGCGAGCCCCACTCCTCAACTTTAATTCTTGTTATTTGAGCGACTTTTTGTACTGACTGTTTGTGTGTTGTAATGTAGTGTGTATGCATCGTATATACACACTTGCATTTCCACTCACTACCCTCCCATAAAGAACATATTTATGTAATAAAGACGCAGCAGCCGGTGTTTCAGTTGTTAATCTGAACCTTCCAACAGTGCAGTAATGAATTTAAAGTTGGAGAGAATGTAGCTCTTAACTTCTGTGACTTGAATAGAATAGGAAGTCGGAGCTGAGGTGGGATATCCAAATTGAGGTTCGACGCAGAATGCAGAATAAATTTATAAAAGGTATTGTTCAGCCTTCCAAATTAAGCTATAGCACTTGGATTATGGTAATCTTAACATCGATATCAGAATAGTCATTTATTCCGCGACCAATCTAATAGTGGAAGGTGATTTTTCATTTTCAAACAATACTTATTAAACCAAATATGGAAGGATGGTTTTACTAATTAATAATAAAGAATGCTAAATAGTGACTTTGTTCAAAATTTGGAGCGCGTGTGTCTGCTAGAAGTGCCTTAGAATTTTGATGATCTAACGGCCGGTTTCTGAATTTCAACTAATTATTTTCAATAACTTAAGTTCTTTGCTTTTTACATGGCAAAAAGTCTTAGTTCTATAAAACTGATATAAACTGATCGTTAAAAACATTAAAATCAGAAACGAAAACCTGTTTAAGATAATTTATGGTTTAAATTTTCAATTCCGAAATCGGGTGTATGAGTCAGTCAGTGATAAAATTAAGGAAATTCAATTTGTAATAATTATTAAAGTACTTCAATATTATGTACTGCCCTTTTGGTCACGGAAAATTTAAGCTTCTAATTTACTCCACAACAAAGTTAAAGGAAGTCACAAATGGCCCGAATGACCGAGTAAAGGATTGTTTTTGTTCGACTTGGCGGAGACACTTCCATGCCCCCAGATAAAGAGTTCTAAAATCTCACCAGTAGCAACATAGCATACGAATGCAGAAACTGTGTTTTCGTAGTTCCACCTTCTGGTGATAGCTACTTTGTACTCTCCTATACTGCATCCCGTTTCTTCATCTTGAAAAAAAAAATTAAAATTTTATTTTTTTTATTTGATTAGTTTGAAGGCAAAAAGAACTGAAATAGTAACTCTTATGATAGAGACTTTATAGATAGAGAGCTTGTGACAAAAATATGCAAGAGCTTTGTACATCTTGTCGGTCGCTTGAACATACGGTGGCGCAAAATAAACTTCTAGCGATTGGTGAAATGTTTTTTCCATTAGATGAAAGTCTGGGTATATTTTAAGAACTAATTATTAATAATTTTGATATCATTTAATTTCCAATCATTACGAAGCTTTATCCGAGCTCATATTTACACTTACTTCGGAGATATACTGATCTACGATCTGAGCAGTTTAGTCCACTATTTTTTTAATATAAAAACACAAATTTAAAAGCTCCTCACGTGTTCCGACTTATCTTGCTTTACATTACTCCACCGCCAACGGGTGTTCCAGCACCTGACCATCACAGTGACATAACCCTTACTATTTCACCATATTGAAATATCAAGCTTTAAAAAGCTCTTGCACATTTTTGTCACAGTGATGAATTATAAGTAAATTCTAGAATGAAGTATTGAAATGTAATTTCAGATTGTATTTATTCCAAATAGATAACAATAAAACAAAACAAACGTACAGTCGAATCTGTTGTTGTCCGTGTGCGCCCACGCGTGCCACTCGAGCGCGGCCTGGCGCGGCAGCCCCCGCACCACCGCGCACTGCACGATGGCGCCCGCCGTGCGCCGCTCCAGCTGCCGCCGCGCCTCCCCCACCGCGCGCCCCGCCCGCCCGCTCACGTAGCACACGCTCTACACAACACAAGCCGCGGTAACGGACCACACTCGAGCGCGCCCCGGCTGCCGCCGCGCCTCCCCCACCGCGGAGTTGAAATAAATTATTAGATTTTATTTTTAACAGAGATCTTATTATATTTTTGATGCCAAAATTACCGATCGTCATAAGTAACGTCACGAGTCACTGTCACTTTCCGGGTCCCCAGCGCGATCTGGCCAAACCGCAGACATTACCTGCACCACGCTGCGTATGTGCGCGCGCGGGTGCACGGCGCGCAGCACCCGCGTGAGGTGCCGCAGCGCGAGCGCGCACTGCCGCCGCGGGCCGCCCGCCACTAGCCGCATGGACCCCGGCACTAGCGCTATCTGCCCACACGTGCCTATCACCTCGCCCACCTGACACGCAAATAATTCACTGCTGCTACTATTCGTACGAATTGACATGACACATGAAAGCATATTCTTCGTAAACGAGATTTCGTCTATTTTCGTAATGCTAATGTGACCCCAAAATATTTTTTTCTATAATAATAATAACGAATGGGTAAAAAAATAAATTCTATTTAGTCCGTTAGTCTCATAAAAGAACAATATAACATACTTTTTTTGCATCAATTTAAAAAAGTTCAGGAATGGGAGCCCACTGTGACACAGTTTTGTAGAAAATGTACAAAAGCGTGACGTCATGCGACGTTCAACTCAACTGTCCATATCGTCATAATTAATTAATTACTCAAAAAATACATGTTTAATATTCTTTTATAGTCTATGAAACATCATACCTATTTATAATGCGACGGAGGTAAAACCTGACACCGCCTCTGATGTTTGATAATTATCATGAATATTATTTTAACGAAATTACATAAGCGAATTGAAAATTCCTAATTTTCGTTCAAGGACTAATAGAATAGGTGTCATGTTAATTCGCAAGAGTTGTTAGTACCGTTACGTCCGCACAAGTTACTCTAGTTTTTACACTAGTAATTATGTACGCCATACGATCAATTTGCCGTAAAGCCAGTTGCGTAAAAAAGGAAAATGATGTCATCGAATATTACTGAGAGGACATTTAAACAGTTATCAAAACACTTATATTTATATATTTTACAATAAATATTTAAAAAAATAAATTCAGAAACTTAAAATCCGACTACAGCTCATTCACGTTCTAAAAAGTTTGAAGCTAGAAATTTATTTTATTTATTGCTTGTTTAGTAAACTCACGGTCGGTCACGGGATGGGTGACCACAAAATTATTATCTCGAGCTACTCCGTGCTCGGAAGGCACGTTAAGCCGATGGTCCCGGCTGCTTTTGCAGTCGTTAATACCCTCCAATCCGCATTGGGCAAGCGTGGAGGGTCATGGCCCATCATCCTAAACCATCCATAAGGAAGTGGGGACGTAAAAGGGCTGATGATGATGATTGTTTGTAATTAAGCATTTTAATCTTATTCGAATAGTATAAAGTACAGATTTCAAATATCAACAAAACATATTAAAGCTATAAAAAGTTAAGTAAAAGTTTCTATTTACCTTAATAGCTTGACTATAAGGTCCAATATTGGCCGGTGCCCAGTGTGAGATACCCTGTACGTGCATCGTGACCCGCTCCTTTGGATGTCCATCACTATCTTGTACGTCGGGGAGCATTTTATGTGCTACCTATACCAAAGATATCTGGTTCAACAAAACCATATATTTCCTAAGTAATGGGAAGAGTGAAGTCTTGCCAGTGCATATATTTATACTAGCCGTTCCCCTCGATTTGACTGCTCCCACCAATACCAGTACATGTGCCTATGATGTTGTAACAGTCGTTGACGGTCAACTCGAAGCAAAAGGCTAGTATTTATTTGTGATTTATTGCATACACCGTCAATACTGTACTTATAAATTCTTAAATAAAAAATAAAAAAACAGATCCAAAATTAGTTTTACTTGAATGATTTTATTAAAATACTAAACAAAAGACAAAATTAACAAAATTTTAACTCACCAACAAAAGAATTTCAACCTTATATGGTCCACAGCACGTCAGGTTATAAAAAAGACAAATTACCCCTGGATTTTATGAACATGAACTGTGGAAATTCGACATACTGCAGTAACCTGACGTGCCGTTGTGTGTATATATTTATGTTTTTTTTTTATTATAGGCAGTCCAATTTTTTTTGTTTGAAACGAAAAGTAGAAAAGACACTTAAACAGTAGAAGTATTTGGTTTTATAACTTGGGATATAAGACTTTGAAATGTGACGTCATGAAATTTAGAACTTATAAAGTCAGCATACTAGTTCGACTGCTAAGGATGTCTCAAAGTGATCCTTATAATAATACTCACAGCGTCTAAAATAAGTCCCACGTCGTCCGGCAAAGGACATTGCACGCAGACTCTTGTGGGCGGGTTTTCGAAGTAAAAATTCTTCAAATATACATCATTCAAGGCAGTATAATCCTCCATATCACGCATATATATGTTAACAGAGCACACGTCCGGTAGAGTCATATCGACGGACTCCAAAAGAGCTGGAAGACAGATTCGCATTAGAGAAATATCATAATGAAAACATTATTTCAGACATTATAAAGGCCAAAGTTGATTTTGTGAATAGAGATTTGAAAATTGAAATTCCGATACTGGTTTCTGTTTATCAATATCAATAATACGCGTTTTATGAAAAAAAAATCTATTAAGTAGTACATATTATTGAAATGCATTTAGGCTATTTCAATTTTTGAAAAGTTCTTGTCAAAATATACAAAAGTAGTTTGATGCTCTTCAAGACATTTTAGATTCTAACTGAATGGGATAAGAATAATATCATATATAATTATGGCTTAGGTTTAAAAATTGCTTGTGGATTATATATAAATCTCTATAGCCATACATTATATATAACAACATGAGTCTATATCATTCCCGATACTATATTTATGAATAGTATTCTATTCAAATAGATATAATAATATCAATTTAAACAAACAACCGATGATAAACAGAAACCGATACCCACTTCCATTTACTCTACAAACAAAAATAATCTCACAGCAATCATAAAAACTTTTAGACAATTGTGATTAAGACATTTTTTAATTTATTTACGTAATTTCATTTCAAATTTCTCGAATGGATTTTAAGATTAAATATATTAAAGTTCAAGCTGAAATTTAGTCTTTCATAACAGCCTGATATGGTGCTGTAAGTACACACACAGACAGTAATATAAAAAATATAATCCAAATCTTACCCACCAAGCCCTCTATTCTCAAGTAGACTCTAATACAATCATCATTTACTAGTAAAGAAGAAAATACAGAATTTGAATCCTTTTGAGATATATTTTAAGTGAACCAAAGCACATATCAAAAAAGATACAGTAATCCACCTTTTTAAATCCCAAATAATATTACTTCACACATCTATCAGCAGAAGGTCAATACGCTTTCGAGTGTTTTGTATTTATTATATAATACATGATAACAAATGACCCCTGATTGACTAATTAACACATTTCATACATATTACATGATAAGAAAGAGAACATATGAAAAAGAGTTAAAATAAAAATCGATTTTCTAATTTACCTACATGATGGAATAGGTAGAATTTTAATAACTCTACGCGCATCTATTATCATATATATGTCAACGTAGAGTCATAAAAATAGACTTAGGAATACGACAGTACGATAAAAACTTGAAAAATCATTTTCAAAACATTGAGTAATGGTCAAACTTGTAGATCAAACAGACTAGATAATCCGGTGAAGTTATTTGTACAAAATGACCCTGTGTACCTATTACAGACTAATGAGATTTGAAAATTATTGAAATTACCGCATACACATACTCACCCTGAAAGAAATCAAAGTGAAGATATATCTAGATGATTAGTATTTAAGGACACTATACAATAAGCATGCAAACTAATTATTATTAACATAAATAAAGCGTCTGCATAAGTTTACCTACTAATGAGTTTTTTCATTGCATCTTCTGTTGCTAACCCCGTATCGACGCCTTCGCCGACTATGCCTCCTATAAAATACCACCCGTGTCTATTCCCATATATAGATCTATGGTCGGCAATAGGCTGCTTCTCAAATTGACTGTGCGCTTCCTCATAATCATATCCATCCTCAACGCTTTCTGTGCTGTCATTTTGACAATCTATAACATCTAGACTAGTGGACACTTCAGACTTTTCATTGTAAGTGAGCAAAGGGTTCATTTCTTGTTTCTTCTTCTCTTCCTTTTCTAACATCTCAATAGACTCTAACTCGGTCTCGCTCAGCTCGATGTCGCTTATGTCACTAAACACGGTGTCGCTAAGATCGCCTACGAAGTCAAGGGCACTTTTGATGGTTGGAGGTAGTTTGTTTGTGTCGGACGTTGGCTTTGGTTCCAGGTGGAGTTTAAGATTCAAATAGCCAACTGGGGCGACTGGATCGTCCGAGTGTATTACTAATTCTTTATCATCGCTGTAAAAATACACACATTTAAGGATTTTTAATTACACACATCTTTTATGTTGTCACTCCCTAATTTTGTGGGTTTTTTATTGTGGCAATGGTTATTTTATTATTATATTTGAACTTGCACTTAATAATGTCTGCCGACTACCATAAAAAAGCTAAATATTACACATCTAAATCTGGTTACTACAAAACGTGAAATTTTTAGAATCAATCTGGAACTTATTTGTCAACAACACAGTGTTAGTTAAGCTAAAATGTATTGTAGGAACTTGACATTCAGGAATAACCTAAAATGTTGTTGGTTGCACTGAAGACTACTGATTAATAATTAATACCCAACTATGAGTCACATAATTTTTCAAATTTACAAAGATCGATCTTCATGTATTTTTAGTAAAACATCGATTTAATTCGTCATGCGGGCAGTGTACAGGACATTACAACCTAAGTTTGCCACTTAATGTACATATTGGTTTAACTTACATAACTAAACGCTTCCTGAAGAGTGGGCAGTCTAGCGTGAAGGTTTCATATTCTCCACCCTCTCCGCACACATTGAGGCCGTATTTCTCCTGCATGACTAGAAGGTGAGGCTGTATTTCTCGCAGCGATAGCCCCAGATGTATTCGTGGGTCCAGTCCTAATGCTGCCACCTGCAATTATACTCGCATTAAAGTTGGGCTTTAAGACAAAGGTGAAAACGAGATGAAACTAACACGCCCATTGGTGAGTTTGAAAGGGATAGAGAAAACAATCTTGAATTTTTATAATTACTCTCCATCAATTATGATTCTTCTTTGAGTGTTCCATAAAATCTTCGATTATAAAATAATAACAATATACTTTATTGCACACACACGACAAGTAACAAATTACACAGTATAAGAAAAAACAGTTTACAAAAAAGCAGCCTTATTGAGCTACATAGCCAATATCTTCTAGGCAAGAAAAAAAAAATGAAAAGGAGAATGGGTGCAACATGTAAAAGAAAGAAGTATAATAGGTATAATAGATATAATAAATAGAAAAAAAAAATTAAATAAAAAATGAAAATTATGAAAATATTCAATATCCAGAAAGAAAATAGTTTTTAACTTGATGGGATAGTTTTTGAGAGCTTTTCTGTTTTCTGGCAGTGTTCCACAGACGGAGAGGCTGCACTGAGGAGAAATAAGTGAAGGAATCACCTGAGGGACGAGGAAATTCGAAGATAAGATTGGAGGCGGAGCGCAAAGAAAAATGGGATGCAGAGGGGTGAAAAGCATTGCTTGAGATGAGGTGGGGTAGCAGATGGCCAGGAAAAGTATAGAATAAAGAATCGTTAGAATCTGCAAGTCCCTGCTCCAGCGAATAGGGAGCCAGTTGAGTTAGGAGCGTAATCGAGATACGTGGTTGAATTTACGAAGGTTAAAAATAATTCTGATGCAAGAATTCTGCAGATGCTTTAATTTAATAAAAAATCCTTAATAACTTACATATTTATCAATTTTCATCAGATATAAACTATAGTAAAAAATGTTGTATTTAAATATTTAAGTTGGTGTCGCTTTTTGCAACAAAAAATGTAAATATTAATTCATGTTATTATTGATTTGTGAAGAATATGGAATCTGCAGAAAATATGCCAAACTTTCTCGACTTTTCATCATTCTATATGAAGGTTTTATTATTTTTTTTTGTTTATAACAGCTCTGGAGCTGGCAGATACAACTCACCCCCACTCCTTTCTATACTCTATTATGCAGTTTCAATTATCATATAAAGTATCCTAAAAACAACCATAAATACAAACCTTTATAACGATAGCTTCAACACAACTATTTATCATTTCTTGAAGTAATTCTTTTTGATTTCTCCTCCAAAGATATGCTAGAGAAACAAGACCTAGCCTACGACAGCTGAAAATGTTTAGAAACAGTTATAGAATGTTTAAAATCGTAACAATTTTTCGAATTAAGTACATACTTTTATATTCATATCATTGTGCATTTGCCACAAAAGGCGCTAGTGGTAGTTAGGTCTTTGAAATGTCAACTATTATATTCCCGTTTCTTTTCAAACAGACGAACTGAATTTGAGTTTATTTTGAATGCTTTAAAAACAAGGCTAAGAAACATAGATGCAAAATAGGCTAGTTGACAACTTTTTTATTATTTCATAAATAAATAGTCCATTAACATCTGACAAATAATGTCGAAGTAACAGCATGTCTGCGATTAATAGTTTCGGAAATACGGTGCTGTGTTTGTAGAACTGCTGCTAGTTGGCCGAAAACGCTCCCTACAAATTCAAGGCACTCAGTGACGTCACATGGTGCTACAGTAGCGAAAAATGTATGGGCGTCTGGACATTTTTTGTAATATCTTTGTTATCTGTGCGTTTATGTTTATAGCTGTTATAATGAAAGTTGTAATATTTTTTATATCTAATTTAATGCCTTATGTATTTTAGCAAATTTTTGTAGTAGATTTTCTCTACTTTTTTCAAGTTTTCAAAGCGTAATATTTTCCAAATCAGTGACTTAAAATTTGTTTTGTTAAACATTTATAAGTTAAAATGGTTCATATTTTTCCAAGATATAACAAAAACCTGTATTTTCACTTGTAGGACACAAGCCTATTAAGCAGGTTAAATTGTATATTGGACATGAACATATTTTTAAATAAATTGATTTATTTATATATTATTTAAGTTCATGCTTGTAGTAAACAAACTTTCACAGTGCTTGTCGTGACTGTTGCGCCATCTGGGAAGCAAAATAACGTTAGCCCTCATTTGCATATTTATTTAAATATTAATATTAGTTTACATTTTCATTCTTACTAGTAATACAGTTTGTTTACTTATAAGCATGTTAAAGATATGTTTATAAGAATCGGCGACACCTTGATATCGACTTGTGATCTCAAGGTGCGGTCTCAAGGTGTGTGCGGTCCCGGATTCATTCCCTAGTCAGATCATTGTAGAAACTGGAATTTTCTACATTGTTGCAGGTATCTTTGTTTTCTCAGATGCTCCTTCATAAGGGGGCTTTATATACTTATCTTGGAATCTTGGTTGAGATGAAAAGCAACCTTTCTTCCACCATGTGTATTTTTATAATTTTTTTTTTATATATTCGCCTACATTAAAAATCAATTTATATATTGAATATAGATCAAACTAACTCTGAGAAATTTCTTCTAGATAAATTATATTTACTTATATCGACAGCATAAAAAGAATGAAATCCAACTTTAATTCCACTCTTTGGCTTGTCAATTTCTATCATGTTTATGGTGCACTTAAGTTTTGCTACTTACACACTTTCAACTCTTATTCTTTGGTAATCAGATAATATAGCTCCCACAGCCACGGCTTCTACATCCATCTCATCCTAAAACAACATTGAAAAATAAATTATAGAAGTTATTAACTTTGTTTGCTACTGATAAGAATGCAGTTTGCTTTATTGTTAAGATAACTTCAAAGATATCTTAGACAAAGCGAAAATTATTATGTACACAATGTCAGTAAATATATTACAGAAACGCTTTGTTTTAAATTGTAAAAATAATAGATATAGATTAACATCAACTTGCAAGGTCTTTCTTGTAATTACTAATACTTCAATTTGTATCTATTGATATATAAATGTGCAATTATGGTGAATGCCATACACTGTATTTAAAAAAAAAAAACAGTATTTGTAGTAAAAATATATATAACTTGTTTTCATTCACAAATTTTTTTGTTTACTAAGCTGTGGGATGATTTTATCCCTTCCACAGAAGTGGATTTTCTGTGAGTGAACAAAAAGGTCCACAGATGGGAAGATGAACTTATCTAAAGTACAGTCTACATCACATCAAGTTATACAAAGCTGTCAAATTGCTCCACTTGATTTTAAACCATAAGACATTGTAGGTAAAGTTCAAAGCCAATTCAGTAAACTTGATATATTGCAATGTGTACTTTCAAATCATCCTAGATTTATTTATATTGATATTCATAGAAAAGTATTTAAGATTTAATAAATTACCAATTAAAATAACATAGAAAAGCAATTGCGTACCTTTATCCTAACAAGTAGTCGGTACAGATCTTCAACCTCATCATTATCACTTGGATTATAGTTCCGACTTTGGTCCATAGCAATACCTGTGATTACTTCTCGGTATAGAGGAAGCCCCATTGCTTCAGCATACAAATCAATCCCTTGGTGCCCAACAGTTTGGTACATGTAACTATCCAATTCATCTAAAATAATTGTTTATTCAATAAATAAGAAAACTATCAAAAGCTACATACAGCTAACAGACAAGGAAGCAGTTATAACATGTATATACCACGTTATGAATACCAAGTGATGTTTCTTATTCATGGGTATTATGTTTTGTATTTTTTGCACTAAATAAAGTAGTAAACATATGTGAAAAATGATGACTAAGGCAAAAGTAAATCTTAAACAACAATTGAATGAGAAATATGGATTAAGGATAAGTACATCTATATGTGAGAACAAGTGAAATTAGGATCAGCCTAAATAAAGGACTCAATTAAGAATAATCTCTTAATAATATTGATTTTTTTTTTATTTTTATCATAAAATATATTATTATAGAGCATGACTAGCACAGCAGAGGTATCTTAATTATTATATTTGATCTATTTTGCATTCACAATGCTATACCGAAAAATATTCTTAATAAAAATGCTTAAAAAATCCTCTTAGTCCCTGGCACACTAAAATGGGATTCAAACCCATGACCTTTTGCAATCCAGGCAATTGCTCTAACCACTGAGCTACCCAGGACTTAACAGGACTGACGAATCTTTCCAGCAGTTGTTACTTTTTTGGTACTACAGAGTGTGTTCTCAATCAATCCACCCAAATAGCAGAACGAAATATTTAAACTTTCGATAAAGATAAATTTTGTTCTAATTATTATATTTGAACAATTTTGCATTCACAATACTCTAAATTAGTTTATACGACGAAATTAACCTTTCTGAACAGGTTGGAGGTTGGCCAGGGCCACAATTTCGTGCCCGGCGCCGATGCACTGCATCATGTTGTAGCAGCTGTCCTTGCCACCGCTGATCAAAGCCACCGTCCTCATCTTTACAACAGAACACTAACACTTCAAACAAATTATTTTCGTTACATAACACTCAAAATAATATCCCTAAAAAGCGAAACAATCAAAACAAAATAGTCGCCAGTGTGATTTGACTCATGGTAATGCCATATCTATTAGAAACTTTCTATGTGTTTTCTAATATCACGTCTACACTATATGCTTACAACAGTATTGAAAAGAAGCATTATCGTTATCTATTTTGATAACATTCTTCAAATGAGAAAAAATACGTTCCCAGAAAAACGCAACTACTTAACTGTCAACCATCTGTCAACCGACATCTCTATTACCTATGCCTATGCTCTGCTCCCTCTGTCATAAAGTATGGACGTGTTGTAGGTATACCTGCAACCTGTCACGTAGATGAGTTTTTAGTGGTTTTTTTACCTTAAAATACTTAAAAAAGAAAGCACTAAAAAGTACCTCCACTAGATGGCACTCTAGCAAAAGTAGATTTTTGCAGGAAACGAATGGACCAAAGATAGTAATTTCCATTCCTTTTAACAATCATATTAAAAAACTGAAATTTGAAAAGTTCGAAACTTTGATATCAATACAAATACGAAAAAGTATAAATAAAATACGAGTTGTTTATTGAGTTTTGAAAACTAATTACATGAAACTTACTTTTAGACAAAAGAAAACCGGAAAGGTTGTCATGGAGAAATCAAGAAAGAACCGTAGCGACATCTAGTTTGATTTCGAGAACTAACTTTTTTTTAAATACTTTCCATTGGTTACTGATTTTCAAAATTATTTTTTATTCGTGACCTTATATGACCGAGGTGGTCCTTTATATTTCGAAATCTATTTGGTAATTTTGTTATAACAAAACAGCTTTTCACCAAATATTTGGACAACATGTATAATTCATCGAAAAAACAAAAATTTCTAAATATTTTGTATTCATTAAAAAAAAATTAACTGACTTCAAAACATTGTAATAAAGAGAAAAATGAAACCTCAAAATTGTTTAATCTTAAATAAAATTTAAACTCAAAAAGCGGATACACCGACAATTTTTTTGAGGTCGTGTACCCGGGCCACATCTGCAGCCGTGTCATTTGTAAGACAGATTCTATGTGATTATCAATTTACTTTTACCTTGCATAATTTTTATCTTAATTCAACGACCTCAAAGAATAGTTTAATTTAAATCCTATAATTTTACTAATCAAGTAACTTGCCATTGGTACCTGTTTAGCACTACTTAGATAGTATAACCATTTTACATAATTGTAAACTGCAACTCTACGTAATTATAATTTTAAAATGATTAATTAAAACTATTAACGCTTAATTGGATATTAATACTGCTTCCAAAACATAAATCTACAAATAATTAGTTGTCGCTGCTAGCGTCATCTAGTAAAACAATCACCTCTTTGGACATGAAATTACCTACTTTAACATTTTTAATTATGTATTATATATTATTTGTTTGTAAAATAGCGATTGTATTTTATTTTTAAAACGTTAAATATGTTTAACCTACTAACAAACACAATTTCTACTGTTTTTTATTGTTTTACATTAATTAATCTACACGATAATGGAACAATGCATTTTACAAAGCCTGTATTAAAAATGTTGCTAGTGTCTTAATGATGACAAACAATTTAAAATAAATACACGTTATGATTTAAAATTTACATGGTCAATATAAAGGTACTGTTTTTAATTATAGTTATATAATCAATGACTTGAAGTTTGTTGAATGTAAATTTAAAATAAAATGGAGTGAAAGTATACTCGGTGTTAACATCACAAAATAATTACACAAACTACAGACGCCGCGAAATGTATTAACAATCTGTGGGTCTCGTTTGTCAAATTATTGATGCGGTGGTTTGAATCACGTTTGAATTTAAGTGCGAAGCTTCGCATTTCCATAAAATTTTATTAATTCGGCATCGTATTTCTCAAATGAATTAGTGTGTTGTGTAGTTTCAGAAATAGGTTTGTGATATTAAGTGCGTCATCATGGTTTTGGCCGAAAGAAGTAATGATGTTCGAAACGGGAAGCGATCAAGGGGGCCAAGCCCCAATGGCCATGGAAGTCCTGACTCCAGTTCTGAAGATGAGAATGGTATGATTCATTCAAAGATTAAGATGTTTACAATTTATATAAGTATTATATTACCAAAAAAATAGAATTGAACTATATATGTAACTATATGCTTTGGTAACTTGGGAGCTATCTATTATTTTGCATTGAGAAGTAGTCACTTTACTAATCATCATATGTGTTGTTAACACCAGAATATTGTGGGATTGATTCATAATAGACCATCTGACATGCTTAATTTTTGTGCTTTTCATCATTCCGCCTACATGCTGCCTCATCTCATCATCTGCCCATCATAATAAACCACCAAGCAGTAGTACCATTTGCAGCCGAGAAGATCAGAGTGGGTAGAGACTATCAGGCAGTGTGTCCAGAGCTGGAGCCAGTTGAGCAAAGGAGGCCTGAACTTATATCAGATAGAGCGCTTTTGGTGTGGTCTCCTACTACTGATATTTCTGACATAAAATGTAAGTTTAATAATTCATAAAGTGTTTAATTAAAAAAAAATAGATTTTATTATTTATGGTATTCCTGGTTTTTATAGTGGATGAGTACATAACAACAGCTAAAGAGAAATATGGTTACAATGGTGAACAGGCACTTGGTATGTTGTTTTGGCACAAACATGATTTAAGCAGGGCTTCTATGGATCTAGCCAACTTCACACCTTTTCCTGATGAATGGACTGTTGAAGATAAAGTATTGTTTGAACAAGCGTTTCAATTCCATGGAAAAAGCTTTCATAGGATACGGCAAATGGTAAGTTGAAATTTTTGGAACAACAATAATGTAGTTGTAATATTGTCAGTACTTTCTCTATAGTTAGGTCCAATTAATGAACCCAACCACAAAGTTTTGGCTGTTCATTTGATTGACTTTTGCGAAAGTTTGCTTAAATTTTATTTAATTGTCATTGAGTCTACACATACTTTGTGATGACATTATCTATTTTTATATTTTCTTAACAGTTACCAGATAAATCAATAGCATCACTGGTAAAATATTATTATTCATGGAAGAAAACCAGAGCTCGTACTTCATTAATGGATGTAGCAGGTGAGGGTCGAAATGCTACAAGTTCTGGTACAGGGAAGTCTGGAGCCGGCTCAGAACCAGGTGGTTCCGACAAAGAATCTGACAATGATGAGAAGGTATGTAGTCCTGACTGAGTTATATTACTTATTGCTTACATTGTAAAGGTTGTCTTACTATTTATATATTTTGCTTATTTATTTGTTCCACTGTGTGCAATCCCCAATTTGATTAATAAATCAATACTGTAGATTTGATAGATCTTAGTGTATCTGGATTGTCCAAAAACGCTAAATTTTATTCCTGTTTATTACGAGCCTCAGCACTCTTGTTAGTACATAGAAATGCAGAGTAAAACATGATCTCAACTTACACAATTTTAAAAATGCATTGATAATTGTTTTCATTGTTATATGCAAACAATTTATCTGCTCTGCATGTAACCTATAGGGTGATATAAAATTGGTTTTTTAAGGTGTAGTCCTGTGTATAGATTGAGGAATATTTATTGTTGGGATCTTAATAGTTATTTGTGAGTCATGGATCTGTATTGGCTATGGCAGAAGTGGACTTTCCACCGAGGTATTGTCCGTGGAGGGAAGGCATCGGAGGCGGGCGGAACCTCGCTGCGCGGTGCCGGACCTCAGCCCGCCCAGGTGGGTGAACATCTTCGCCCGCGAATGTTTGGTCACAATGTGAAAACTATATACAGTGTTTTCTATCGCTCTTCTCACTTTCACAACTGTTCAATTTGTGTGTTGTCATGTCATTCAATGTCGATCTGAACAGGTAAGCTTATTGCCTATCACAATATTCTCGTCCCTGTGGTTATCAATGTCTGTCTCATTATGGATCCTTGCACTCCATTGCATTTCTATAGCTATCATACAATTTTTATTTAGTAGATATAATTGCTTTTTATGTTACCAGTACCTGTTTATTCACTGTTGTTTATTACAGTGGAGGAGAAAATTTGCCCATGTTAATCAAATTATGATAAAATTTTCTTCTGCTGTCTTTTCATTTTGATGATTCATATATTATACTCTGATGTTTATTGATTGGCTGCTTATTGGCACTGCTTTTAATTAATTTTTTTTATTGCTCTGCATTTTTATCTACAAACAAGGCTGAAAGTTATTAAAACTATCATTCCAGACTGATGAAATTATGTACATTTATGATTTCAACACAAAAGTACTTCTCTCTTGTTTCATGTAATAGTATATTATATTCATTTTTGTAAGAATTGTTGGATAATTTATTTATTAAAATTAAAGTGTTATACATATTTAACTATAGGTTGCACATTTTGATGTAACAATTTAATATAAGTCCTGTCCACCTACCCTTGCTTATCCTCAAGTTCCCGCATGCTTCCTTTAATAGCCCCGTATTTAAAAGATATTTCACTAGCGCGATTTATGTGTGCAGAATATGATTAATATTCTAATGGGTTTTAAAAGAAGTGTGTGAGGAGTCATCAAGTATATGTCCCGGCGTTTATTTGTTAGGTGTGTCGGTTTGAGTCAGGAATGTAAAGTATTGTTGGGTGTAGGGCGAGGGTGCGGGCGAGAACGCGGCAACCGGTGGAAAGTGGTGTACCGTCTGCGGGATACTCTGCTCCCAGACTACGGCGCACAACTCCCACAAACTGTGCCAGGCATGCCTCGTGCACGCCAGGTCGGTAATGACATATCAATCAATTAACTATTAACCTCATTTAAATACAGGCTGGATTAAGAACACTGTCCGATGTTAAGAGGGCGAATATTAGGAACAAAACGAATCATGTTCAAATTACAATATTGTGTCATATTTGGTAGTGCGCTGATGCGTCTATTTATAAAAAAAAAAACTAAAAATAATTTTTAAGTTACCTCAAAAGTTATATGATAAACAATTTCTTCTCTTAAATATTTCTTTACGAGAAAATAATAAATTATGAGTATTTTTTGGTACTTGATACGAGCGATTTGGCCATCGTAGGTCTCGTTAGCGGCGTCTTGTTTTATCCTCAATGAAATACGCTCACAACATGGTTGAAAGGTATGATGTCATAATGCATGCAATTCATTTTTGAAAAGGTCGTAAACATAGGTATAGCGTGGGTAGTAGATAAATTCCACCCTCAGTCTTCAAAGTCTTCATTGTCATTCATAACACTATGTTTAAATTTTCAAAATTTGTCCATCATAACTATGTTTAAATTTTCAAAATTTGTTATATAAAATTATAGCGCGTGCGTGATTAATCTTGGTTGTAGTCTGTAGACATATATCGTAACGTTCCATTACACATCCGTGGATCGGACAGTGTTTTTTCCACACAGTGTGCATAGTTAGTAGGTCAGTTCGCAATGCATGTGTTATTGAGTTAGCGCGTGACTTGAGGATTGTTGTTTGAATGTTGGCGGTAATGTGACAGACGCACGGGCACGATGCGACCGCTGTGCGGCCCGTCCGGGCGCCGCGGCCCGGCCGCCAAACAGCAGCGGTACAAACACCGGTTGCCTCGGGGCATTTACATCAATCACGATGATCTGGTCGCCATGGCAACGGGCCCCCAGCCCGGCGACCCCGTCCAGCCCGGCATTGTCAATCAGGGCGAGGCCATGTTAAAAGCGATGGACAGAGAAATTATATCCCTAAAGAGACAAGTAAGGAGAGCCGTTGCTACGTAGTGCCGATGTAACACATTCTCACATTTACGTTGACGCCTCGTGTTTGTGTTTTTTTCTTTTGTTTTTATGTTGGGACAGTTCTTGATTAAAAAGGCCCATGCTTGAGTGAAGGTCTGTATGATGTAACGTGAGAATGTGATAGCAACACAGAATCACCCATTTGACGTAGTTTGCGCTTAGGCGTTACTTCGATTATATTCTGCACACATAGTTTGTAGTTCTTCAATTAATTTAGATAAATATTATATTTATGCTTATTTACATTGCTTTGTGATTAAGTTTTAGTATATTTATATATCCTTACTTTATTGGATAATCCAGATATACATAACCAAATGATCTAAAACCTGGTTCTTGTGCCCTTTCATTATTACAGAGTTTATAATATTGCTAGTTATAAAAATTTTAAAGCTTATGATTGTAAAACAAAAACCAACTTTAAATTTTTGTGTAGGTACAACAAAATAAACAACAGTTAAGTGCTATGAAACGCAAAGTAGGCGATGCGGGAGTTGAAGACTTGAGGCCTGGCGAGCCACCGGCGAAAATAAATTCACGTTGGACTAATGAAGAGTTACTAATGGCCGTCACAGCTGTCAGAAAATATGGTAAGATATTTTTTTTTTATATACTTACCATTGTTGTAATTCAAATTCTAATTAATTCTAAGACAGTTTTAAAATAGTTTTCCCGAAACAATCAAGTGGGCGTATTATTTATTTGTTGTCTATTTATCCATTAGGTAAAGATTTCCAAGCTATTGCGGAGACACTGGGTACTAAGACAGAGGCGCACGTTCGATCGTTCTTCATATCGTATAGACGCCGCTACAATCTGGACGCGGTAGTACGAGAGCACGAGGCAGATCGCGGTAACGCGCATCACATACAAGCCGGTATGATGTTCTGTGGAAATATTATATGGCATAATAAATATATAGTTGGAATGAGAAGGTCTAATAAATAAGTAACATATCACATATACATAAAAATTGACGTAATTATATTCCACATCAGGATCCTTATTTTTTAATTTTGAAATCATACATTTGAAACATGAACATTTGAAAGATATTCACGAACTTCACACTACAACTATTTGACATGTGATAGTGATAGTGATCGTGACGATTTTAATGTTAATTAAAATTGTCAGACTATAGTATGACCGTTTAAATGAGTCCTCGCCCGCGCGGTACAGGGGCGCGGGGTATGACGACAAAGGGGACCGAGAGAGGTGCGGGCGGCGGGCGCATTTTTGTTTTACCTGCCGCCCGCACCTCTCTCGGTCCCCTTTGTCGTCATACCCCGCGCCCCTGTACCGCGCGGGCGAGGACTCATTTAAACGGTCATACTATAGAGTGCACGCCAATATATTTGAAACCTATTGAGAAATGTCAAACTAATTGTAATCTTTCGATTGCTTAAGGGAAGTTTTAATGTTTCTTGATCATTCAAATTAATCATTTGTTTCAAAGGTGTTTACATCTTTAAAAGTTATTTAGTTCCATAAAGCTCTATCACGATCGATATATCTTTAAAAGGGTTTGCGATATGTTAAAAAAATAGACAAATAGCCCACAGAAGGTGTTTTCTTTTTGTTACACCATTTCTAACAACCATGAAATAGTCGATAATATGTTTGTTACGATTTTATTATCTCGAATACTAAATGACTTGCATGAATAAATAGGACCAGTTATTTGGAAGTTACCATCAAATTTACAAAGTGTTATTGTAGTTGGTAATTTATATGAATAATAAATGTTCTTATTGTTAATAGGCACAACGAGCACAGACGCGTCAGAGAACGCGACTGATAGCACAACCACAAATAATGGCACAGCTTCGCCGCAAACAACCTCCAAAGACGAAAAGGTGAGATTTATCTAATGTAAAAATATCTTTTGTCACAGTTTCAGTTACTGTACTCTAAAAGGGCTTGACCAACTTTGATGAAAATCCATTGTATGTAAGGAAAGATGCGAATGCTTGTTACTAAATATCATCTACTTATTTATTATTCATAAATGCAAGTTAAAATTTTAGTTTTTGTTATTATTTGCGTCGCGACATCTGTCACTCACTTTTTTTATTTTTTTGTTTCCATGGATAAAGATATCTTATTTCTTATATCTCTCTTTATCTTTACTGCTGTCTATTATTACCTATATTTAACATCTTTAATTTTTACAACAAGTGGTTCATTGCTTGTTTAGCCTATTCATCTTGGAATCTGAACAATGTATGTGATGTGTAATATTTCACTATAAGTGTATACTAATAATAAAGCTGAAGAGTTTGTTTGTTTGGTTGAGCTCTTATCTCGGGAACTACTGGAACGAATTAAATATTTTTTTATCGTCATCCTTTTCTTTATAAATGAGACCTATAAATGTGCAATTAAACCGACAGTATAGTGAACAAGTCTACAGGTTATGTGAAAACGTCATATTTCGTGTATATATGCTCCACTTGGTTTTAAACCTTAAATTAGAAATTTTACATATTTTAAAAACTAACATGCTGCTGTACAAAAAAATAATAGTTAAGTGTTATTGTTATGACAATTATGAGTAAAAAAAAAATCAAATGATTACCAAATACACATTTCAATGAATCGATTTTATTGGCGCAATCCTAATAAATGTTCTTATGTTTTAAACTTTAGAGGATTACATTTCAGTAATAGGGAATATGCGTCTGATTTAAAAAAGGGTTAAATATATTTTCTTACAATCGTTATTGCTTTAGAATAAAGTCTATCTAAATGTTTTTCAACTTTAGTTCGTTTTCGTCTTGTACATAATTATTAAAAAGTGCAAAGTAAATGCGGTAACTTTAAAATATTTCAACGCTATGCTACTTGTCAGAGCGGATGTGACGAAACTATACATGTATAGGGATGTCGTTACAAAAGGTTAACATCGATGCAATAACATCAATGTATTATTACGCAAAATAAACAATTGATTACAATTTAAATGATGTTTTAGGCTTTTATTTTTATTTCACCAATTTGGTAAATTATATGATTTATTTAAAAAGTCTATTATACTTTAAAAAATCGATTAGTTGTCAATCACTCAAAATCCATAATGATATAAAATGTCATATATCTCTAGTCGTGTACTTTTTTGACGTCACGACGAGCGCGCCAAAAATTCCGGTGTTTAAATTGCTAGTAGCTATTACTTATTTTCATCAATGATTAATGTTATAAAATTTTAGTTTTTCAGTGCCGGGTATTTTTTTTTTCCAAAAATGTGCATATTCCCTATTATGGCTATTAAAAATTTATTTATGTTCTATTATGGGAATTTAAATCGAAATCTATTATATACACAGTCAGACAAATTTTCTATAACGAAGGTTTTGAAATAGATTTGTTGACAAACGTCTTCGTACCCATCGCGTAACGGACTATAGTTATTAACGTGGGCGGTGTCATTGCAGCCGGAGGTGGACAGCGAGGGCGTATCGCTGGGCGCCCCCGCGGAGCAGGGCGGGCCCCCCACCACGCCGCCCAAACACAAGCCCGCCAAGTGACCCCCGCGCGCACACGCACACGCGCACGCGCACGCACACAACCGGCATAGGTAAATCGACGCTACACACGCTCCTTACATCTACGTACTAACAGCCGATTAGATACGAAATGTTGTATGAACTAGAGATGCGCCGAATTACCGAATCGGATATTCGGCTGATTTCTTCGGTTTATCATCTCATTGTTTTGACGCGTAAACGGGTTGAAAAATAAATGTTGAATTTTAATTGCTTTTTTGTTATTAGCTTTATTGAACACATTCTTCATTGGATTTCTTTGACTTGTAATAAATAATTAAAACTAACATAAATATTACACATGAAGTACTGTCTTATAGTTTTATGGGGTGTTGTGAAGCCTCTAATATAGAAATACTCAAACCGAATATATTCGACTTCAAAAACGTATACAAATAGTGCAAAAGATGCCGACCACGCCGAATATCAAACGAATATTCGGCGCATCTCTAGTATGAACTATCTATAGTGAAACCCGACAAATATGGCTTGTCGTGAATCTTGGTTTCCGCAGACTAGTGACTTGTTGTATAATTTAAAAATCGATAGACTTAGATATAGGTAAAAATAAAAGATGACGATGTATGGAATTATATACAAAGAGTAACAGAAATAACGCACATCCTTATTATATACACCCAAATTAGAAAATGCATTTATTTAAAAAAAAATTAAAACTGAAATTTTTCTTTTATGCACTAAAACATCTGATTTTAAACAAAGTACTTTAAGGATGTGAGTTAATAATATTACAGATTGTATATTTTAAAGTAGCAATCGCTTTTGGAACATAACTATTTCAATGATCAAAAAACATACCTTAACTCGTGGTAAAATTGCAGTTGGCATACAACCCTTTCGTTTGATAATCATCAATGGTTTTTAAATATATTTGTGGTTAACGCTTACCTTAGACTATTTCAATTAACATTAAATTAACTACGTATCATTTATTCAATATCCTTCAAAAACATATGGTAAATGCCAAATTGAAAGGGATTGTGGTATACTTTAAAATTAGACAATAAGCACCATGTTCTATAGATTCCGATGATAACCAATTCAGATCGAAATTTATAATCAATCTTGTTTAAATAACTATTAAGTGTGAAATACAACGTGACTAAGGTTTTATGTCTCGGTCACGAATCAATTTGATTGGTTAAAATTTGCTTCGATTAATCGGTGTGCCATATTAGTCGAGTTTTACTGTATTTATCCATATTTCACGCCAGATCTTTACGGGGACTTATTTTTCATTGTTACCGCAAAGAAATGTTAGCATTGTTTAAAATTCATAGACGCTTTAATTGAGTTCTCAATAGAATCCGTCCTCTTATGGACAGTATTAAATGAACATAAAAATAGTAAAGATATTGATAAATTGTAGGTTATTTTCCCTCTGATTACAACGTAAATTTATGGAAAATATTCAATGGCATATGTATTGTATTAAAATAAGTCTTAATATAATTATTTTAAAAACGATTGTTATTCTAAACCTGTTGTAGATCGAGTTTGAAGGCAATATAGCATATATCGATAACTGCGAAGACCAGAGAGCTTTATCTATTCACAAATTCATATTGTAAGTTAAACATTTTAAAATGATATGGCGTCGCCATGGGTATGTAGTTAATATTGACATATACATTTTAATCGGCGTGACTTTGAGTTGAAATAATTCTTATTAACAGATTTTCTTATTAAATATAAATAAACCATACATTTACGTAATCAATTACAACTATTATTCTAATTGTAATAACTCTTGAGTTCGAACAAAAAGCTGTCAAATATGATCTTTGTTTGATCCACATCAAATCAAATTCATTTATTCAGTCTTTGCTGACAAGAACTTGTGAAAGTCGAAACTCTGTTATCGGTTCGTAAATCTACGGCGGAAGACCTTGTACTGAGTAGAACCGGGAAGAAATTTAGCAATGGCTGCTTTCCTTTCTCCCTGTTTTATTTCATAAAGCGATATCCTTAATGAAAAATGTTTAAAAAATCCACGTTGTCCCTGGAACTCGGAGATGGGACTCGAACCCGTGAACTTTCTCAGTCCGGGCTACTGCAGTGATGTCAAGATTGAAAAATGATCTCATTAGAATATGAAGTCACTTTCCATCACAATATTAGAATATATCAAAATATTTGAGACATACAATCTTGTATAATAAATAGCCAACTAGACATTGGTATTGGTGTTACATCATAACACTAACATTATTTTTATTAAATGACTCGAAAAGTTGTCGACGGTGCTTTTTTTACTTTCACAAGCTTGTCGCAAAAGCTGAATACTACAATATCAATTCTATAATTTTCTTATGTGCACAAATCAAATGGTTGGTATATTACGCAAGTAATTTATCAATTTTAGGATATCATGGTTAGACGCTGCCTGGTTCATGTTGACAGCTACAATATTAAAGTGATAAACTAACGAAAGAAAATAAAGTAAATGTGATTTTTATATTGATGGAGTATAATATGAGTGAGGTCTCCATACAATCGTGCAGTGTGATTTTGTGATGTAAGAAAATGTCAGTATACGCTTTAGGAAACATCATAATATCGGACATATATTGTAAATATATAATAGTTAAGTTTTCTTTAGATATAAATAAGACATTGCACCTTGGGAAAGAAATTATTATTATAGGCATAATTCCCTAGAGTGCATTTCTTTCTTCTGGCTATTATCTGTGGACGATGAGTGTGCTCTTATTGCGATGTTTTTGAATGTTTGGTTAAAGACTATCTCTTCTTAAAAATATATTTAACGTCTTATGATGGCCTGAATAATATAATATTATCCACTTGCCTTAAGTAATTTAACTTCCTATATACTCGCATGCTAAAATATAAATAGTTATTCAGATATATAAACGAAGTATTCAATGTATCGCTGAATACATGGTGTTATTTCAGAATAGTTTTATATTACAGTGGATTATAAGGAAAATACTTAGTAGCTAAGATGTTTCAAGTAGACTTCTAATCTTTTTATTGTTAAGTGTACTATCAATATTTGAATTATGTCCATTTTACTTCTAGTTTAAAAATAAAAATGAATTACCTTTGATTATATTTTTATTAATCGATACTTATTGTAAGGTGCATTTATCATAGTCTGAGATGTTAATAAATCCATTTAAATAGTTTGTGTCCTAGTTTAGGGAAATGAAGGGGAGTTCGCTTCGCACACGTGAGGGAACGCGTGACGTGACATGATTTAATGATAATATAAAAATAATAATAAATAATAATATTTTTATACTCACAAAAGACATACCAATTGAATATAGAGATTCTCGATATGATAGTATGTTTGTTTAGTTTTATTCATTATTCTATGATTTTTCTAACACGTGCATATGGTGTTTGATGTTATCAAATTTAGTGTGAAGGATTTTAATTAATGATTTTTAGTGTAATTACATTTTTAAAACACTAACATCACTATATAGACTCGTATATTAGTCTGATAAATTGAAGACCTGAAGAGGTGTTACCGTCATACATTTTATGTTTACTAGTAAGTAAATAAAAATGTTTAAAGCATTTTCTTTTTTTATTGTACACCCGATTTACATGTGGAGAAATTGTAAATAATTGCTTAGCATTAAAATTCTTTGTAACCCTTATAATAGTTTAGTTTATAACGCTTGTAATTAGTATCGAGTGCGTCCACGTCAGTATGAATTTATTACCCGAGTTCAAATAGGTACTGTATGGTTGACATTAAAATGCTAAAATATATTCTGTTCCATTTTTTTTTTAATATGAGCACTATTGGATAATCGGGACGCACTTAAATATGCACGTTAAATCGACATCCGCCTAAAATTGACGTAAGCAATTTGTTTCGTGTTTATTGTATCGACTCTTGTAAATATCGTCTATTCAATAAGGCAACAGAAATTCGTTCACACTAGTTTGTTTATCATTAGCAATTGGGTAATGGGTTTTAATATTTTAACATAAGTAATGAAATGATTTACGTTTTAAGTTCTAGCTTGAGATATTTGAATATTCTTTGGTGAGATGTAAACGTTTTTACGCTGTGTGCATCTAGTAAAAAAATTTTTTTTTTTTAGATAAATCTGGTATCTATGGATATATTAAGTTCAGATGCCGAATTGTAATAATTATGAAAGAATCAATTTATAGTATAATTGTCGCAATTCAAAGTGAAGATGTGTTGATAAACATAAGTCTTTATCTGAATTATAAAATATATAATTAATGCGAGAAGTGTGAATTATATATTTTAGAATTTTATAACATTGGTATAGTTTTCTTTAATCTGTGGAAATATTTCAAATAATTAATGAAACACTGAACCATAAACGTAGATAATTTTATTGTGCTCTTATAAACATTAAATAAATACTTTGTTCTGTTAAGATTATTTGTAGTAATACATTTTTGTTTTCAATTATTATCTTTATGTATTCATGTGGCATACGAACTAATCACTTCCAAAGAGATCCACATTATGAAGTCACCTTATTTATTGATCCTAAATTAGAGTAGTTGGAATTTTGTTACATAATTAAATTATTTTCTATTAGTTTTTATTGTGTTCTGTATATTAAGAATAGTAATCAGCTAATGAAGTTTTTTTTTTATTATAATTAAGTAAAGCTCAAACAGTACCTACATATTTGATGCCATAGAATCTGGCAGTGTGACTATTATAACAGAAATTCTGTGAGTCTTTGATTTAAACAATAATAAATAAAGTTAAGAATATATCAATATTGTTTTTTATTTTAATACAACATGAAGTTCTATATTTCGTTTATGTGTATTACAATACGATTTTGGACTATTTTCAATAGCGTCTCAGTTGATAAGATAATAAAAAACCGCTCATGTACTTATTTTATTGCAGAAATAAATATATATTTATGAATAAAATAACTTAGTGTTTTTCACTTTTGAGTTTGGTGTTAAAACACGCGGTTTTCTTTTTAATTAATGGCGTTTGTGGATGTCCTCCAGGCGTAGTCCTGGCATTGT